TTTTTCCCATCGACCCACTAGATTTAACTTCCCCCATGCGACTGATGAGGGGCGGGTTGGAGCCAGGATATCGTTGGGCACGACGTGGATAGGGCTGCCTGCGTTAACCTTGCATTAGTGACAGTTCTCCTTTAGCGCTGCTTTGTGCTGGCTCCAATTGACCAACCCAACTCGCCGGCACTCACGCAAGATGTATTACTCTTTCCAAGGCAAGCCTGCCTGTCGACTGGTACTGATCAGCAAAATTGGAACAACAGCAGCACAATAAAGAAGCGGACAGGCAACAATACAAGCCGGGCAACATCTGAAGGTAGCAGCTTAAAGCCACCATCCCTGGTGGACTGTTTAAGGTTCACCTTTTCTGACTGGTTGATTTTGCTCTCGATACTCTGACAGGTTGCCCTACCTTGGACTACCCTGGTCTTCTCTCGACCTTCTCTTCTCGTCATTTTCTCTGAACTCTTAGCCGAGATGAAAGGGAGGAAAAAGTAAAAATGAGAAATGGGAGAAAAAGAAAAATCTCCTTATATGGCGGTCTTACCCATCTGGAAGATGTTTAACCACTGGCGGTAGGAGCTGCATCGGCCCGCATTGGTGACCTCATTGTACGTGCAAGGATTTTACGAGCCTCGTCGATCAGTACATAAATTCTGCCTTTCACTCGCGTGTACGGAGTACTCCGTAATAGGAAGAGAGAAAGGGCAAAAAAGAAAGGAAGGAAAGGAAAGAAAGTCTTTCTCTGCAGAACTCCAAGTCGAGTCTTCAAGAGAGACAAATGGCCGAACTACAGGGGTGACATATTATTGGTGTCGACTTTACACAGCATCAATGTGGCCCCTCCCGGTGGTAGTGGGAGAAGATCCCATTTTTCAACTAGTCCAAAACAAAGAACATGCTTTTACACCTTCCAAGGTCATAATATTCAAGAGACAGACAGCAAATTCAGATACAGATAGCATCACCAAACGCAAATACTCCCAACCGCGAAACCAACCTAGTTCTTAATCCACTTCTGCGGGCTTGGGAGGGCTCAGGATCCACTGCAAAACAGTATAAGCGACTTCTTGATCGTATTTTTCCGCGTTGAGATCGTAGATGGCGCGTAGTGTAAAAGTAATCGTTGGGTATGTTTCTGATGGTTTTATGCTTGCTTGAACTACTCGAACCTGTCGATGGATGAAAGTCACAACTGTAGCCTTTGATTCGCTCATGGGTTAGCCAACCCCCCAAAAAAAAGGGCGTCTGAACGAGACACAAAAGGGAAAATGGATAACCTACGGTCAAAAATCCCTCTTTGTACCTTAAGATGGGTTTGTATTTCTCTACTCGAGGATTCCATATCATATCATGCAATTGACGGTAGAATATTGAAATCGCTGCCAGTAATTCGGATCGAAGAAAATAACTCTTGGGGTCATTCTCGACCTGGCTCACTTCGTACGCGCTTGAATGATCTCTCATTATGCAACTCCAATGGTTTTGCTCAAGATAGAAAAGCTGTACTCCCTTTATACAAGGGTATGAGTGATACACCATGCGGTGTACTTTGTTAAACATTGGGCCACAGAACCTGGAACGACGTTAGATTGGGTGATAGGATAGTAACAGCAAGGAGGAGGAATCTTGCAAAAGCTAGTGGCTTACTTACTCCCCATGTTCGATGAATGGATACTCATCAAGAACTTGATAGGCTCCCGTCTGCATAAATCCAGAAAAGCCCCAGTTGCTGGGTAAACCGGAGAAGAGTCCCTTTTCAGGATGGTTGATCCTCTCACACTTCCTGATGGCCTTTAAAAGCTCTGGAGGAGTCGGAAAGTCTACCTTGTTGCCTGTGCTGTCTATACATTTCACCTTGATGTCCTCTGTTTTCTCCAGCCAGCCACAGGGAAAGGAGTCTGGCGCGTATGAGATGTAGAGCTTGAATAACGGTATCAGGTACCAACCCAAGCACTCAGGCCGCTCAAAGGCATATGGCTGCCCTGGGGTCTTCGGAACTACTGGAGCTAGGGGCATGTGGGCCGGCAGGTATCCTTTTGCAAATGATTCAGTGATAAAAGAAATGGCAAAAGAGGATGAGGAAGAAGAAGAGATGGCGGAGGAAGAAGGGGATGAAGAAGAAGAAGAGAGAGGAAGAAGAAGAGGAAGAGATATAGAGGTGGAGGAACACGTGACCACTAACCTTTACTGGTGGGAAACCAACGCCTTATGCAGCCAATCATTCACCGGCTCGCCCGCCAGGCAACCCTCCTAAGCGCCGGCCTTCCCCTTTAAGAAGCCCGCCCTCCTGGCCCCCGCGTCCTTCTGCTCTCGCTTCCTCCTTGCAACCTCATCTTCTGTCCGTTGACTGCTTCCTCTGCTTCATATCACCTCGAGAAGATACCCTCACTTGCTCGCTGGACAAGTAGCGATAGCTATTTACTCAAGTATCTTACCAACGACAGAGTTTAGTTACTAGTGCAACTTTATTATCGATAACCTCTCTGTTACACGCTTAGGTGGGGATGGCAGCGACACGTCGAAAAGCGGCTCATGATCTCGACAAAATACCTTCAGATGAAGGTGAATGGCGTGCAGCAGCACGGAAATATGGGCTCCAGAGCCGTAACCTTGAGGACCTGTGCAAGAATGGTACGTCTTTTAGTTACCTGACTAGCCGGTTAAATCGCGCTTCTCAGTAACAAAGTTCCGCAACATCTGTTAACTAGTATTGAAATAGGGAACTTCTCTGCGTCCACAGTTCCAACAGAGGCATTCCTTACTCTTCGCTGCATTTGGCCTAAAAAAGGAGACTACCAGCATGCAGTGGCCTACATTGCCAACCTAGAGCACTTTTTTAACTGGGATAATGTTGATGACGCTAAGAAATTGATGGATAACCAGCAGCTAGGACTTGATAAGCTCACAACCCTATATCAGATAATATGTCTTCCAAAACAATCCCTGCAGCGCACCCCTCCTGAATTCTCTGGAACGTTGTCGGATGGCTTAGGCCCATTCTCTCTGCTTGTCCCCATATATAACCAACTTCAGGACAGACGACCTCAAACCCCATCTAGTGTCTCTTACCTAGAAAATGCTCCCAGAGGACAACCATTTTTTGACGCTTTTCATCACCAAAGCCACCAGGCACCCACAAGCCCAACTCGCCATGGCGCTGCGGTGGAGGATATTACTATAGAAGATATCCAAATGACAGGCATCGACATCGGCAGCTTTAGCAGCTCCCTCCCTGAGGACGCCTCGTCTCTAGCCGAACACTCCGTAGTTAGCGTGCCAATTGACGAACCTCTTCCCCGCACACCGACGGAGACCCTCGTCACGGATTTCGCGGTTATCCTTCTGGGGGGGTTAGCTAGTCTTGTGCAGCCCCTGGGCTATAAACCCCTATGTATGGCAAACTCTTTCGAGACGACATACGAATTTGGCCCGCTAAACAGCGTATCAAACCCTCTGGATAAGGTCAAATTTCGGGCTCGTATTGATGGTAGCATTCCATTCAGCGTTTCTCCGGGCAAGGACCTTCGTGAAGCCATTATTTTCGAAGCCAAACGAGCGCCCCGTGTCGAGGGGATAAATGAGGTTCCTGTTCTTGCACAACAGTCAATGGAGCATGCCGCTTACATTTGGAACCGTCATAAGGAGGACACAACGGTAAATTATTCTTTATGTTGTACTACATCCTCATAAGAAATTACAGCTAATAATAGTCTTATTTATAGTGGAAGAACTCTGTACAGAAATACCATACTTTCATGGTAGCTCAGGACCACCTTGGCTTCCACATTAGCATTGGAACGTACGATAGTAGATATCTTGACTACATCTTCACGTCTAATAGCCGAAGAGTTATCCCAACCCAAGGGAACATCCCGTTTCTTCAAATCCAGGAGTTTGGCCCTTTCGATGCGGAAAATGAAGACCATTTGCCGCAGTTTTTACTAATAATCCTTTCGTTCATTCTTTCTCAGCTAGAAAAAACGGCGGCGGCGGCTATCTTTAAAGATGCCCTTCGCTAGGCATGGCCCTAAATGGTGATCAACCTGGTATCAGATTCCGTGGTGAAACAGTTTACGAAAAGCTCAATTCGGCTCAATTGCTTAGATTTTCAAACAATTCAAAGGTATCAGGGTGCGATGTACGCCTTATTCTTTTTGATAAATTCGTAAATAACTATTTTTAGCTAGTGGTTCATGCTTTATCAAGAATTATTTTTGTTAGCTGGGCAGTTTACTCTACCTGCTAACTTGATATCAAGGTTTAACTAACTAGTTAGTTAATTAAGTTAGTCAGCCAAGACATTGACGGCTCAAACCTTGTTGTCAATATAAACTCCACCGAACTGTGGATGCAGTGAGGTCTCTCGATGTGATTCTATAGATGTCATTTATCGTAATGCTAATGTACAAGGACAATATCCAGTAGTAACCAAACCCATATGAGCTGAGATCAAGCTGCATATCTAGGGTAAGTAGGCCCTTCCTATTTTCTTCCTTTTCGTCTCCTTGAAGGGATAATTCCACCTGTCCGCTGTCTATTACCCACAAAGGAATGGCCTTGATGAAAACGAATAGGAACAAAAAAAATGATAAATTCAACACGAGAGTAACTCCGACCGATGCGTAAGGACCAAGACGGGGGGGGGATTGCGGTAGAGGGGAGGATGAATACAAATATCACAGGGTATGTAAATGGAAACAGGGGCTTCTATATAGGTAATTCAATGCGTATGGGGGGAAAAAGGGTTAGTCTTCATCTTCCCGAGTCGTTTTGTCGGCCTTCTCCGGTTCGCTAAGCTCTTTGGCCCAAAGCTGGTTAATAGCGTGTCGGTCAACACTGCCAAACACTATATCGAATACTTCTGAGTACCAGCTGGCAGCGTGACCTTCTATTCCCTCCTTGATGTTCTAATTGACAACGCGTAAAGTTAGTCAAGGTTCAAAAAATAATCATCCATCGTAAAGGAACATACCTGAGGGAGTTCTAGCCAATCAGACATATTGTCTGCTGGGAATATAATAGTTTTAGCTCCTGCCCGACGAGCAGCCACGGTCTTCTCACGGAGACCGCCTATCCGCAAGACCTTCCCGGTCACAGTAAGTTCACCGGTCATGGCAATAGTAGGATCAACGGGCTTGTTAAGGGCAAGCGAAAGAAGAGCAGTTGCCATGGTAATACCAGCAGAAGGACCTATAAAAGACATCAGCAGCTGCTAGAAACGGACAGCATAGAGAAAAACAGATCTGGGACGTACCATCTTTCTGAACAGCGCCCTCGGGGCAATGCAAATGAAGCCTCGCCTTGTCAAAAAATCTATTATCTGGGAACTCTTTCGCCATAAGAGATTTCGCGAAAGAGTATGCAATCACCGTAGATTCCTTCATGACGCTCATCAAGTTACCAGTTTGTTCAAAGCCGGGTCGGGATGTTGATGTTAGCGCAGATTGTAAAATCGATTCCACGTATAATGCAGCACCGCCCATGCTTGTCCATGCCAGTCCCATTGCAACACCTGGAGGAGTGGTATCATAGAGTCTATCCGAAGTGAAAACAGGTGGTCCAACGTAATCCTTCAGGTTGTCCTTCCCAATAGAGACGTGGACATCTGGTGGAACTTGAACAGCTTCTAGCTTTGGAGCCTCCCGGGGTTGCTCAGTAGACTCCGTTGCAGCATCCGCTTCCCGCTTCGCAGCATTTTCTTGTTCTGCCCGCACTTCTTCTCTAACTTTACTTTCCTCTGAAGGTTCTTCTTCTGGTAGACGTTGGATAATTTTCAATGCCGCTTTCCTGTATACCTTCTCAATCTGCTTCTTGAGATTGCGCACACCACTTTCACGGCAGTATGATTTTATTAGCTCCTCAATGCCTTCCTTTTCAAGGATCACATCCACGTCCTTTAAACCGCTGACCTCTTTGGCTGCTGGAGCAAGGTATCGCTCTGCAATGGCCATCTTCTCATCAGCAACATAGCCGGAGAGTTCAATCAGCTCCATTCGGTCTAGCAAGGGACGTGGAATGGTGTCTGTCATGTTGGCAGTACAAACGAAAAGGACCTTAGAGAGATCCACGGGTATATCCATATAGTGATCGAGGAAAGATGAATTTTGTTCCGGGTCAAGTAGCTCGAGCAGCGCTGATGCTGGGTCTCCCTGGTGTCCTCTTCCGATTTTATCGACTTCATCAATGAGTATCAGGGGGTTTTCTGTTTGACATTTTTTGAGAGCTTGGATAATCCGACCGGGAAGAGCTCCAACGTAGGTCCTACGGTGGCCCTTGATCTCAGCCACATCCGTCAAGCCACCAACACTGAATCGATAGTATTCTCGGTTCAGGGCTCGAGCTATTGACTTTCCAATACTCGTCTTTCCAACACCAGGGGGCCCAACAAAACAAAGGATTTTTCCTTCGACTGTTCCGCGCAATTTTCCGACAGCAATGAATTCGAGAATTCGGTCTTTGACGTCCTTTAGCCCATAATGGTCTTCGTCCAGGACTTTCATGGCATTCTTAATACCGAAATTCTCCTCGCTTCGTTTTCCCCATGGAATCTGTGTTATCCAGTCTAGATAGTTTCTGGTGACATTAAACTCAGACGCAGCAGGTTCCAGGTGTGCGAGTTTATTCAACTCTTCATCAAACACTTTCCTCACAACATCAGGCATGGCGAGCTTCTCGGCTTTCTCCTTGAACTTCTCCACAAGCTTGTCCTTTCCATCAGACTCGATACCAAGTTCCCGCCGAATACCTTTCATTTGCTCCATTAGCCAGTATTCTCGTTGGCGCTTTTGTATCTTGGCTTCGACATCCTTTGAGATCTTAGACTGAAGTTGGGCGTTCATCAATTCTTTTTTCAAAACAACCAAAGCTTTGGACAGGCGCTCCTCGACATTCATCGTTTCTAGGACGTCCTGTAACTCTTTAATTTCACCAGCAGAAACGGCGGCGGCGAAGTCCGCTAGTTTAGCAGGCTCTTCTATCACATTTCCAGCAGATTGACTCATGGAAAAGGTCGAGATTTGATCGCGAAATAGGGGGTTTAGGTTTGCAACATCCTTGAATACGTTGACTATCTCACTAGTCACCGCACGTATGACTGGACTCTTTTTGTCCATGGGCTCTTCGACCAGGTTGTCCACATTTACTATGCTCACAGGATATTTCCGCAAGAAGGCCGATGGTTCATATAGGGCTGTTTCCTTTGTAGTTTGCTCAGTAGCTCCCTCTTCAAAACTTGCCACAACGTCGCCTTGCTTCTCGGCTGATGAGTCTTTCGATGCTTCCTGGCTACCAGCCTCTTTCACCAAGCTATCACGAGACGGGAGAATAGAGGTCATCTTAATCCTTCGGTGGGGATACAAGACAGCTGTAAGGCCGCTCTCATCTCCGTGGACGGGGAAGGCACTCGTAATTTGTGCAAATACGCCAACATCGTGAACCTCGTCTATGTTGTCAATGACGTCCTTATCCGCTGCTTCATCCTTGAACAAGAAAGCTCCCACGTAGGGTTGCCCTCGCTTCATCATCTCTTGTATGGCAGCGACAACATTCGGATCTTTGATCGTGATGGCCTTATAAAATCCGGGAAACAGAGGTCGTCGAGCAATCGGGATCGCCATCACTTGAGGATATACATCCGGTATAGTCGGCTTCTGGAGAGCCTTTTCAGAAGAGCCCTTTCTTCCTCTCCTTCCTCCATCACTGCCTCCGCTACCCGAGCTACCGCCAGCTCCAGCTCCAGCTCCAGCTCCCTGGCTTGGTCTCGAGTCCGACTTGCCTTCTGAAGGCGGGATTGGGCTCGGTTCATCTGACTTATTCTTCCCTTCTGTCGGTTCCTCCGGCTTAATCTTCTCTTCGCGCTCAGTTTCCGCCTCGTCTTTCTTCGGCTGCGGTGGAGAAGGCTTCTCTTTTCGCCGGGCTGGAGTCGAGGAGAGGCCGCGCGATAGTTGTAGCCGGGAAGCTTGAATATCTGAATGCGAGAATGCGATCTGTCTGAACCGAGGATTGTAGGCCCTGTATCGGATATCCTGGGAGCTCCGGCGAAGGGCTGCTCTCAATGGAAGGCTGATGCCCCGAAACATCCTCTCAGCAACGTCGTCTAAGCGAAAGAAGAGAAAGAAACCGAGCTGTTAACGAACGATGGCCAAATTAAATATAATACAAGCAGTAATAAACAACACTCCGCACAGCCCGTCAAAGACCGCCAATTCCCCAAGCTGACGAGAAAAAAGTGAACAAGATAGAAGCAAGACCGAAATGCTCGAGATTTGCCCGGTAGGTTGGCTCGTTTTTGTCTGATTAGTCATCAAAGCTGGAGAAAATATTTTGCCGAAGTCCCGAGAAACTTTTTTTTTTTCTTGAACCTTCGAAGGGAAGACGAAGACGACGAAGACGACGAAGAAAACGCAGAAGACGCAGGAACAGCTTCTCTTCTCAGTGGTATATACAATTGATATAGCTGATCTCTCTTATAAATCGCTTCTCTATGAGTATCCCTGCTCCTGGGCTGCCGCTTGCAGCCTCAGTTCCCTGCCGTTTGCTGCGGACATCGCGCCCATACAGAAGTCAATGCCTGGACATCAACCGTCATGTACAATCACGACCCTACCAGACGGATTCCAAGGTGCGGAATAACCAGAGGCCTGCTATTAGATCGAAGAATACGCAGTCATTGAACCAATCAACAAGAGTAAGCTAGTGTTATTCCACGAGGTGAAAGGGGAAACCGAGCTGACAAAGTTCTATAGAAATTTCATGCGACGGCTCCCGCTTCAGCAGCGAAAAACCCTTACAGCGTTCTGGGAGTTGGGAAGGATGCATCGGCCTCAGAAATTAAACGAGCATACTATGGGCTGGCAAAGAAGTTCCACCCCGATACAAACAAAGATCCCGGCGCCAAAGACAAATTTGCCGAAGCCCAAACCGCCTACGAGACACTATCTGACCCTGAGAAGAAAAAGGCCTATGATACGTACGGGTCTGCTGCATTCGATCAGAATGGCGGGTTCAACCCTGGCGCTGCTAGTGGTGGGCCATTTGGAGGGGCGGGAGGCTTCCATGGCTTTGGCGGTTTCGGAAGCGGTGGCGGCTTTGGAGGAGGTTTCACTGCGGATATAAATTTCGACGACATCTTTGGTGCCTTTGCTAAAGCTACTGGCCGCAACCCACGCGGGCACGGATCACCTTTCTCCAGCGTTGCGGTTGGAGACGACATCGAGGTTCAGGCGAATATCTCGTTTATGGAGTCAGCCAAGGGAACGACCAAGGAAATTAACATCACACCGTTGGTTACATGCAATTCATGCAAGGGAGAAGGATTGAAAGATGGTAAGAAACGATCACGCTGTAGCACTTGTGGAGGCACTGGTGCGCAGATCCATGTCATCCAGGGCTTCCAGATGCAGAGCACATGTGGAGCGTGCAATGGAACCGGGTCGTCGATACCCAGGGGGTCTGAATGCAACACATGTAGCGGAGGAGGTGTTGTTCGAGAACGAAGAACCGTCAAAATTGATATTCCCGGTGGTGTCGAGGATGGGATGAGGCTGCGGGTTAATGGTGAAGGTGATGCCCCGATGGCAGAGCCAGGAACCCGAACGCAGCGAGGAAACCTCTATGTCTTCATCAGGGTTGCCGCTGACCGCAGATTCAACCGTTCCGGGTCGGATGTACTATACACTGCCGCCATACCTCTCACAACCGCCCTACTTGGAGGCGAAGTCACGGTGCCGACACTGGACGGGGAAGCTAAAGTTAGAGTTGGCACCGGAACGGGAACTGGTGATAAGATTACCTTGCCTGGGATGGGTATGCGGAAGCTTGGTGGGCGGAGAGCAGGTAATGGTGACTTGAAGGTAGAATTCAAGGTCACCATGCCGAGATCATTGACCCCCAACCAGCGAACAATCCTTGAAGTGCTTGCAGACGAGATGGGAGACAAGACTGCGAAACGAATTATGAATGTCAACGACATGAAGCCTGATGGGTAAGAAAGCCAGCTATGTGCGCCTCTGTCATTCAAACCAAGCTAACGTGTTTCTCAGCTCTTCGAACAAGGCTTCTACCGACAAGACAGATAACGCACAAAAGGGTCAGGGGTTCATCAAGTCCGCCTGGGACAAGCTGATGAACCATCGCAACCCATGTTCCTCCAGCTCAAGCAAAGGGTCCTCAGACTCTACCGACAAAAAGGGGCCCGAGACACAGTCGGATCAGCACAAGGAGTCCGACCAGCCTAATGAGTCCAAAAAGGCATCAGGATCTGGCTAATTGATAGACGACTGCGTTACCGTCTGCAGCTCTTTTGTCCGATTTGATTTTCCATCTCTTTCTCATACATAGCGTTGGGCGAGGTGTACCTTTTTGCATAAACCGATTTTAACTCCTTTTCTTTCTTTCCTGTACATTATGTTTTCTATATAAACACCCCCCGACCTCCCTATAACAAAACTCATTTGAACGAGCATCTTACAAGTGACTCCGCCGGCTTGTTTCTCGTCTTTTTGTTTTTTGCACTCTTCACTCTTCATTCTCGACGGACGTTACTCTTTCATCTTGTTGTCACCCTCTACTACTACCTAGATTTCACTTTACACCTTACGGCCTATGCTTTCCCTTGAAAACTCTCTAGCCTCTCAGTCCATCAAGTGGTCTGTCTTCTGGGCTATTTAGGGACAACCAGAATCCGGGGAGTGCCCGGCTGTGGCGCAGACTAGGCGCAAGTACGGTGAGTGACATCTTTCATCATGGCTATGTGGGATGTAACTAACACGTCTCCTCAGGTTTTACTGCGTCTACCATCTTCCATGAAAGAAGATCTTGACCTCTACGGTCGAGCTGACGAATTTGACTTGCCCACAGCCGTTACCCAGCAAGCCGTGAGAAGACGGATGCATCCCCTGGGCTAGTCCGGACATCACCACGCCAGAAGCCTCTTAAAATGAGAGAAGCGTCACTTTGGATATACATACTTATTCACACGTCTGGCTACCGTCTCGTAGCCGCCGAGACAGCGAGTAACTAGCAGCCGTCGATCCATGCTCTGGCCAGGCCTGAGATCCTCGGCCAGCATTATAACGCTCTAGACACAGCGGGCAAACTAACTGTGGGATCACCAACAAGCACCGATTTTACGACTATGGCTTCTTGCTGGACCGTCAGCACCCCCGACAGCGAGGAAGTTCGTCTGCTGTTGAGTTCTTCGAGGAGCGAGATGATGTATGTATCTATGTTTCCAACCACTTTTAACCATGTATTTTACCGGGGGGGCAAGTCCTTTATGGAGAGGACATGGAATATGCTGTATGATAGTGATAGCTCTTATCCCATCTCCCCTCGTCCGCTGTGTGCCTGTTCTTCCTTCAGACAAGTATAATATATCAATGTAACTGCATCGATACTTCGTCCATCGAGGCTCTCTGGTGCTCTGCCAGGCTGAAACAGCCCTCCAGCCAATCTGTGACGGCAGCGCAGCATCTCAGGCCTACCGAGCGGATGCCATACTTTCAGCAGCCAGGATCCCGCTGTGATAGTGGCGCCAGTAGAGTGTGAAGGCCAGGATCTCTCGAGGGTCGCGATGGAGACTCCAGAGCAGTCGCAGCAGCGGTCCGCTGGCGATAACCAGTCCAGCCTGTGCATCATGCGAGTGGCATCAGTAGCATTTCCTGAGATCCCGCCAGGCCATCCAGCAGAGGCAGCAGAGGCAGCAGAAGAGAGAAGAAGAAGAAGAAAAAGAAACGAGACGAAGTTCTTCAGGCAGCTCGATTCTTCGTTGCCGCCGTCTCCATGATAGGCTCGCCGGTCGACGTGCATCCATCCTTCTTGCAACTTCTTCCATGCACCATCGCCATCATCGCCCTCACACATATAACTAACCAGCTAGTTAACTCTCTGACTCTGACTGACTGACTGACGCCGGCAAGGTCGCTACCAGCACACCGTCTGCATCGCTCTTCCGCCAGGACGCCCGCCAGCCCATCAGACAGGCATCACGACCCGCCAGCGCATGCCCGCCCGCCGCTGACCAGACCCAGGCCCTTGGTTATTAGTTATCTCTTCGGTGACGACACCAGCTAGTAGTAGTTAACTAGTTAGTGACATCGCTCCCCCACATCCTCCGCCGAGGGCGCCCGCACTACGAGCCCAACGCAGCCAGCAGAGAACCCCGTCGCATCGTCGTGCACGATACTCGAGCTGCTCGACAAATGCCGCGGTGCATAGGCTTCGTCTAGGAGCAGGTCTGTCGTCCGCTGGGGGGAGAGAGTGCTGCCTCCTGCGGCCGCCAAATCCGCCACGATGGTGCAGTCTCCCATGATATCGTGTCCTCTCAAGCAAACGGCCGAGATAGACTGGATCGCTCCGCTCAAGGGATATATCAGGCAGACCTACGGTGATGACCCGGATCGGTATTCGGAGGAGTGCGCGACTTTGAACAGGCTGCGGCAGGACATGAGAGGCGCCGGCAAGGACAGCGCTTCTGGGAGAGACCTGCTCTACCGGTACTACGGGCAGCTAGAGCTGCTGGATCTCCGTTTTCCCGTTGACGAGAATCATATCAAGATATCTTTTACCTGGTATGGCTTCCTTGGGTTTTTTGATTTTTTTCCTTTTTGGACTATATTATTTTCATTTCTACCAAGACCTCCTGTATATGGCTGACCGGGCGTTGAATTGCAATCTAGGTACGATGCCTTCACACACAAGGCAACCTCCCAGTACTCCCTGGCCTACGAGAAGGCCTCCATCATATTCAACATCTCCGCCGTCCTATCCTGCCATGCTGCCAACCAAAACCGTGCCGAGGACACTGGGCTCAAGACCGCATACCACTCATTCCAGGCCTCTGCTGGCATGTTCACCTACATCAATGACAACTTCCTGCATGCTCCTTCGACCGATCTGAGCCGGGATACGGTTAAGACGATGATATCCATCACCCTTGCTCAGGCACAGGAAGTATTTCTCGAGAAACAGATCGCTGATGGGAAGAAGCCGGGCTTCCTAGCCAAACTAGCCAGCCATGCTGCTCATCTGTTCACCCAGGCTGCCGAAGGTGTGCAGGAAAACGTTACCAAAGGCATATTTGAGAAAGTATGGTGGATTTTGACTTCTGCAAAGGCATCACATATGTCCTCCCTAGCTTGCTACTACCAGGCCATGGCTGACGAGGAGGGTGGAATGCACGGAGTGGCCATTGCACGGCTACAAATAGCTGAGAAGGCTTCAACGGCCGCAATCAACATGGCAAAGTCGTTCCCGTCATCCGTACCCTCTGGCTCTAATCTTACCTCTGAAAACGGAATGGTGCTGTTGGACATGGTACGACGACAGCTGGCTACCGTTCAGGAAAAACTGCCTTCAATGAGGAAAGATAACGATTTCATCTATCACCAACAAGTTCCAGCGGAAGCATCAGTCTCCCCTGTTGCGAAGCTCCCCGCTGCAAAGGCTATACCCGTTAGTGAACTGTACCAAGGCCAGGATATCCAGCGGATAATTGGACCGGACATATTCCAGCGAATAGTACCAATGTCCGTTACTGAGTCCGCAAGTTTGTACGACGAAGAGAAGGCTAAGCTTGTCCGGGCCGAGACAGAAAAGGTTGAAGCAGCCAACGGAGAAATGGCTGCCAGTCTAGACTACTTGAAACTACCTGGTAGCTTAAATATACTCAAGGGGGGGCTGGATGACCAGTTGACTGCAGACGAAGAGTTCAGAACTTGGTGTGAAGAAGTCTCTTGTCAAGAGCCGTTCAGAGGTACTCTTGAGGATCTACAGGATGATAAGTCCTCGTTGCTTTCCACTCTGGAGCAGTGTACCAAACAGCTAGACACCGAGGAGAGCGTGTGCGAGAAAATGCGCTCCAAATACGGCGCTGACTGGACGCAGCAGCCAAGCTCGCGCCTTACGTCGACTCTGCGATCAGATATTAGAAGCTACCGTGAGACCATTGATGAAGCCAGTTCGAGTGACTCCCAGCTCCTGGTTACTCTGCGGCAACATGAATCCGACTTTGAGGAAATGCGTGCAGCTGGCGAGGCCGGCGAGGCAGACATTCTCTTCCAGAAGGCGCTCATTGCAGCTGGCTCGAAGCCAGGGAAAAATGGAGCCACCCCAGGAAGCCCGTATAGCAACAGAGCACCAGAGGGAAACCTTTTGGAGGCAGATTATGGGGAAGGAGGCTTATCTGTGGCAGAACAGATTGCAAAAGTTGAAGAACTGCTTCGGAAATTGAACCTCGTCAAGAGGGACAGGATGCAGACTTTGAAGGATCTGAAAGAGAAGGTGAGTAGTCTATCAATCGGGACAGTTATTTTTTTGCTATAATGAACATCGTTTAACAGCATCGACAGGTTCACAATGACGATATCTCCAATGTTCTCATTTTCAACAAGAAGGCGATCGCAAACCAAGAAGACCAGCTCTTCCAAACAGAGTTAGAAAAGTTCAGACCTCATCAAAACCGGCTTCTCCAGGCAAATCACAAACAGAGTGGCCTTATGAAGGAGCTAGCCAAGGTATACGGAGATCTGTTACAGGACAAGCGGGTGAGGGCGGAGAAGTCAAAGTACGAAGTCCTCACCAAGCAGCGCAACACGGTTATATCCAAGTACAGAAAAGCCCATAAAGCGTTTAACGAACTTCTCAACGGCTTAAGCCAGGCACAAGCATTCTACATGCAGATGCGGGACACAATCGACAACCTGCAGCAGAACGTCGAGACCTTCCTCAACAACCGGCGGTCCGAGGGAGCCCAGCTGCTCAGCCAAATCGAGCGGGATAAAGCTGCCCAAGCATCAGGCCATGAAGAACGTGAACGAGACAAGCTGAAGAATCTGATGGAGCGGCTGTCAGTCGACCCAGCGTCTTCGTCATCTACTCCACCACCTCCGGCACCCAAACGGGCAGCTAACACAGCGAAATCACCTACCCACTCTGGCCTGCCACCACAGCAACCTCCAACCCGATCCCCTATCACTGCCCAATATCCCCCCTCCACTTCAACCGGTTACCCACCCGTTGCCTACCCAAGCGGCAATGGTATCTCGCCCACCGAAGGCTACGGCTCCCAACAGCCTTACACCCAGCACATGAACCCAGAAGCATACAACCCGATGGCCTACCTATATCAACAACCACCGACTTCACCTCCTCCGTTGCAACAGTATTATGCCAGCCCACCCTCGTATGGTGGCTATCCAGGTTCACCACCCATACCTCAACCCCAGATCCCACCAAGCCATACCCCTCAATATCTACCGCAGGGCTACGTGCCTCCGCCGCCACCACCACGCCACTCCCCAGTGCAATATAATTCACCTGGCCAGGGGCAAGGGGGCTATCAGCAACCCACCAGCAACTATCCCCCCAGCCAGCCATCCCATCGCGCAAACCAGCCTTCCCAGTCCCAAAATCAAAATGATCCGTGGGCAGGACTGAATGCATGGAAGTAATAGTGCAGTGCAGAGCAGGTAGTGGCGCGAAAACACGAATTGAATGAAAAATAACCAAGAAAAAAAAAAGGGCTAAGACAGAATATATGGAATCCAGGCTCGGGCCACCCAGAGAAACAACCTGGGAAAATGGACGGAGTAAGGTCTATGTTTTTTAGGATTGAATTACACCTTCTTGCTACTTATATACTTCTCCTATATAAAATTTTCTTCTGCATCTATCCATCTCGAAATAGCATTCCGTTTAAGTCGATATATTTTCGTCTTACGTTTATATAAAAAGGGAGAGAGGCAGTAGAGGTATAGAATCACGCAATGACAACTCCGTTTCCTGCCTTTTTGAAAATTTATTTTTCTGTCTATCAAATGAGACCTCGAAATACAATTATTCTTCAAATTCTCTAGTTTATGCTATACAGATGGAGGAGCAAATCTTTCGCTTGCAAGGGTATCTATCAAGTAGGTAACAAATAATATGAGACGGAAGCAAATGAACCGAACGCCGTGATGTAGGAGAGTGCCAAGGAAAGGTAAACAAAAAAGGTAACTAGTTAACAAGAGAAGCCGAGGTAGAAAAGTCGAGTCGTGGCTTGATTTTAGGGCTGGAACCGAAGCCGGAACTCCTTCCCCCTCCTCTCCTCGTTGACCTTATACAGAAACCGAGCAATGGCATCCTGCTCCGAAATAGCCGTGTTGTTGAAGTGTTTCCGCACAGCAGACGCAAGCTGGGCCTTTGACACTCGTCCCTGTGCCGGAGCCGAGAGACGATGAACCACCTTGTCCTGCCGTCCCGTATTGTTAGAAGCTTCCTGTCTTGGTTTGACGTCCATATCTGTATCGATCTGCATGCTGTCATCGTGTTGTTGTCGGTCAGACTGTAACTGCTGCAGCAACTGTTTGCGTCTGATGGAGATGGCTGTTGCAGAACCAAGGCCGGGCCCCTGTGAGAGGAGGATGGAGTTTATCTGTGAAGAGAACGCGCTGGGACAGGGAAGGTTGTATGCGTAGCGGTATTCGTGGAGGACGGACAAGGGCATGGTGCTCCAGTTTATCTGTTATTTCACTGCGGTTAGAGCTTGTTCCATGAGAGTCTGGATGGATGGTGGGATCCAAAAAATGGACGTACAGAGGCCTGGGACTCGACGGTGCCGCTCTCGTCCATGCGTTGATCTGCAGCAGGGGCCTTGCCTTCTTTCAACGTTGCATTCGAGCCCGTGCTGGGAGCAGAGGTGTTTGCTGCGGCAGACGAGGTGGTGCCTGCTGCAGGTTTGCGTCCCTTGGTGGTACCCTGGCGCTCGCGCGTGCTGGATGCTTCTGACCGCGAGTCGTCTGGGACAGCACCGGCGGCGGCAGCAGAGGTAGAAGCAGCAGCTGCACCAGAAGAGGCAGCACCAGCACCAGCCGAGGTAGCAGTCGTGGACACGGGACGCTGGCGGGGAGGAGCCATGAGGGTTAAGGGGGATTTCGAACAAGACCGCGGATTGCGGTATTTACAGAGGGCGGAGGAAGGGGGACTCTGCAGGGGTCACGGTCGGGCGAGGGCTGGCGTGGTAATTAGAGCGTAGGGAGCGAAGAGACGGGGGACTAGCGAGAGGCAAAGGCGCAGAAGCAAGCATGTCCGGCAAAAGCTGGCTGTCGAGATGTCAAAAGCCGGCGTCGCTGTCGACGGTTTTCTTTCAGTCTTTTTTTTGTCTTTTTTTCCTTTTTATTTAAGGTTTCGATGACGATTTGACTTTCGGATTCGCGTGGGGTGATTAGTAAGCTTACTAATAAACGCAGTGCCAAAGTTTTGTTCAAAATGATATTTTCCACCTCCTTCATTTATCTCTCTAAGAGTCAATTACGGATGCCTAGTGACACTCATTGCGAGTGAAGCTGCACCGTTCAAGTCTGACATGGCATCATGCTGTGGATTCCGGCTTCGTTATTTGTATGCCAACGGTCTCATAATTGAGAATGATCGCCGTGGCTGGTCTAAAGTTGTGTTGGCACGGCTTAACACGGCTGCCATCCAGCCTTCTCGTGAGGATTGGTTACAATATAGTGACCATTAACCCACATGCATCAGCCATAACTAATGAACAGAGGTTTGCCATTAGCCACGGCAGGATCTACCTTAGCTATTCAGTTGTGAGTTCAATAGTTAGCTCTCCAAGTAGTCCAGCATATCTGGGGTATCATGACTGAAAAAGCAGTCGAAGTAGCGGAATTGGGAAAGGATTCTCTCAGCAGCAAGATATAAAAATGGCCTTGTTGTCACCATGATCATGATGTTGGATCCTAAGTGCTATTCCTCCAAAAACTACTCCGTACATATACCTATTTCTATCTTCCAACCGAACCAATTCAACATGAAGTTTCTAATCATCCTCGCCACTCTTCTTGCTGTCGTACACGCGAATTTTCCGAAGGAGTTCTTTCAGCAAATTAAATGCGCGGCCCCGTGTGTACTTCGCAGTGTCAAAAAAATACCTTGCGGTGGGAGGAGTGTTCTCTTGACCATCTGTGACAATATCGACCATATAGAACGCTCGTCAGCAAAGTGTATTGTTCAGAAGAACTGTAAAATTGACAGCGGGCTCGGTAAGTCCTCCTTGAATCGAATATGACATCATTAGTGATTTTGCGTGATTTATGATCACGCTGGTGGCCGGCAAGTTTAAGGAAATGTGCCCGAATAGTGAGGGAAATGAGAGTGGGTGAGGGGGGCTATAGCTATAGCCTGGAACTGTGATCACTGCAAAGGGGCAAGCTTTTCGATGCGAGATTTAGTGCTGTGTGGTTGTTTGGAGATGCTGTGTGTAATGCCAGATATGGAGGAATAAAAGACCAGGAACTGACCACTTTGTCTGTCTATTCGTCAATTACTTTGATAACCGCCTACCTGATTGCTCGGATGCCACCCTCCAACTAATCTGCTTGCCCATATACCACCCAACCTATCTTCCTGACTACATGCAGTAAAGTTCAATTCTTAGGGTTAACTAATATACTGTGTTTTGTACTCCGTATTTGTCCTGCATTATCCTGAAGCCTGCTAATGCCAATGGCTCTTAGACGACAACACCCGGGCTATATAGTGAGTCCTTAAGGTTAAAAGATGGACAAGTCGCCGGCGAAGGGTTTAAGTTAATTCTCCCCTTCCCGCTGCGCGCGGTTAGCCAATAACTAATATAACTTATTTTTACTTAATAATAGAATTATCTAGTTAAACTACCACCTTTCTGCGTGTTTATCATGTAACTTTGATTCTACTCAACGATGACTACCATTCACTGAGCTATTCACTAGGCACCGCGCCAACGAAGGTATTTTTGATATTCAAACGGCTGTTGGTAAGAATAAGAATAACAATCAATAACGGGATGGTATAAGCTGGTTGTCTACTGATTATGCTTTTTCAATGCTCGGTCCTGGGACCCCACAATTGCTTTCAACGTACTCCCTGATCCGCTCGCACACGCGCGCATGCTTTAGAAACTCGCTCTCTGGGATGAGATAGGGGTAGTACGCCATGCTCATGCATCTATCGCAAAAAAAGCCCCAATCAAGCGTCCCATCCGGTAGCAGGTATGGCAGTCGTATGGATGACATGATGCCGTAGCTGTTGCTCGGCTCACTCAACCATACCGGATAGCCCGTAGGCGGGATGCGGGACTCATATCTAGGCTGCTCTGGTACAACGTCGTTTTGCCTCTCGGGGCCGAATTTACAGTAACAGGATTGAACCATAGGGAGAGGAGCAGGACTCCCACATTCTCTCCCGAGGCATGTGATAAAGTCGAAGACCAAAAGGGTGCCGTTTCTCTTTACAACCTTCACTGCCTCCCTGAGAGATATCAGGCGCAGACCTTCAGCCGGCTCCACACGATCAGAATAGGGTCTGGCTGGGAGGGCATTCATCACAACTAGATCTGTCCTCCCGTAGAAGGTAAAACAAAGTTCCTGCTCCATATTGTCGATGGGAAGCGCCCAAAAGTTCTGGTTCATGTCCAAGCACGCAACGCAGCATCTCTCGCCTGTTAGGAGGAACATGTATCCACCAAACTCCCCGCATTCGGGGCAGTCGCGGGTGCGTAGAGTCTTATAGAGCTTCTGCACCGTGTATTCGCTTTGAAGACCAGCTCGGCGAATCGCTTCAAGGGTATAAGGTACGTGCTTTACAATAGCATGATACTGCGGCAAATCGTTGACAGCAACGTTTCCGCCCCAAGATACGCAGAGCAGAGCAGATAGCGACTTGAGGTCGAGCCTATATAGGATCTCATGGAGAAGCTCTAGGGGTAGTCGGTCAAGGATGCCTATAGATAGTTTATGGGGGAGGTACGCGGGAGTAAAGAATTTTGGGTTGCGAAAGTTGATACGGAATTCGTCTAGCTCACGGGTAGCAAACTTCCTGAGTAGGTACTCATCTGACGCATTCACAGTCATGATGACTACGTGAATCTTCTCACGGGGTATAATATAGACGATATTGATGACTGATGTGATAAATTCGAATATGAAAAGCAATAAAGATAGAAAATAACAACGAGCTGAGGAAGAAAGTCCAAAAAGTAAACAAAAAGTAAGGTTTTGAGCCTCCATTTAGAGTTCGTACCGCATCCCGTTCAGCCCTATACGAGGAAAGCGCGATGTGTTAATCACACCTTCCTCTAGTGTTGAACACCTTTGCACCTTCCTTGAAAGTGTTGAACTCATTTGCACTTTCCTCGTCCAGCATGTTTGTGGTTTTCATCCCATCTTGGAAGGCACTACTCTATACACGCCTTCCTTCTCTTGCCAGAACCGGACTTTGCAGACTCATAGATCCCGTTCATGGGGATAATATAGTATTCTTGAGTTGGGAAGAGCTTAGTTAACTGGATATTAGGCAGAGCTGCCCTCTATTAACCGTGTTGAAACATTTGAGAGGCAAGCCAGCAGCCCAGGAGGCCTGAAAAAAAAAAACAAAAAAACAAATAGGGGTATCTTGGAAGGGAGGCAAAGCTATAGCCACTCTATAACTGAACTCTCTGTTGAGCTGGAAATCAGTTCGTCAATGCTGATTATTCCTGGTCCTGTGTCGAGATAAGAGATAGATATGCACAGGGCCATAACTAGACAACTAGATAAGCAGTCAATGGCTGGGCAAGGCACAGCCGCCAGGTTCCGGCTTGTCCACGAAAACCTGCTTCCCCAATATGGCATTGGGAAGCAGAACGAGGCGAACTTCGACGACTCTGGGCAACTTCCAAGAGATGTAGAAGTCAAGTTCTTATCTTGATGTATCGCACTCTGATAAAAAGCATACCGGGATAAAAGCGCTGAGATTGGTGGAGATCAGGTGGGCCAGGCAACGAGTTACCAAAAGTAGCAATCCAGGGGAAAGACGACCCTTTTCTTGTCGCAGAAAATGCCAAAAAAGAATAAAACAGCATGCGCGCTCAGACTCAGATGCATATCTTGTCACGTACATGAGTAGGAAAGCTGCAGCGGTGCAGTGCAGTGCAGCGCAGCGCAGTTGCAGTTGCAGTTCACCAAGAACGCCTGATGAGGGAGGGAGGCCAAGTCCGGATGCAAGTACTGTATTTTTTTTTCCCAGCCAGCCTCCCCGCCCGTCCGTCATGCATGCATGTAGTTACAACTCGTTTCAGACAGCTCTGATATGCAGGTTGAGTGTCAGCAATGCAACTAGTTAGTTGGTAGGCTGCTGCGTACGGAGTACTGGCTGCATTAGTTACTCAGAGAGCAACCCGAGCGAGCGGAGGGGAAAAAGAAGGAAAGCGGGAAACGGTGATGCGATGGATGCGTCAGCGTCAACGTCCACGTCAAAACAATAAAAAAAAAAAAAGAAAGAAAGCCAACTGCTTTTCCGATGTGGTGGTTAGAGATACTAGTATCAGGGAAGAGAACGTGGATGGAGGTATCCGGGGAGGAGGATAGTTAGTGTTTGTGCAACCATTCGCTGCCAGGCTTGCACTGGACTGGTGGAGGATCACATGAAATGTACATTCTCTGTGCCTAAACGCATCACTGTCAGTTAACACGTCAATTGAACGATAGACTTGAATGTAGCATCTGAAGACATGGTGAAGATGCCAATGCGATGTTGAGTCAGGGCCGGAGTCTAGCCCTGCTGAGGAATCAGAAGAGTGTATACATATGTGTGTGAGAGAGATAGGGAGAGTCTGGTATCTGGTAAGGATGCAGGTACCTCGCCTGTTGAATATCCAGGAATATGCCAAGTTCCACACCAGCCAGTCGACCAACGTCCAGACCGGGCGGCCAGCTGGCTGAGTTAGGTGTTGACTCGGCGAAGAGAGGGTTAAGGTACCCTTAACCAGCTGACGAAGTGTGAAATATCCTGACAGTTTGGAAGAGTGAGCTTCAAAAAGTTGATAAGTTGATCGCACAGTAAGAAGATGAAGATGAAGATCCACCGCGGCTCTATCGACAGCCCGCGGGAGAGGGGATGCCATATGCCAGTCCCATCCAGTCCCAGCCGGCGCCCCCCCATGGGCAAGCTGCTGTATACTGCTTAGCTTTCCCATGCCATGCTCTGGCGTTGGATAGTTAGCTTTTTTCTCCCATGCATCTGACTAACTTAGTTAAACTAGTGTAACTAACTAGCTTCCAAGTCCCTCCTCCGTTGGAAGAGCGGATGCTCTGTATAGTAACTAGTAGTAGTATGTAACTAGTAGCTGTAGGGGGGAAGGTTGAAATCTGGAGAGCTTCCGAAGCAGCGAGATGCAGGCACGGCTTCTTCCTTTTTTTCGTCTTGCAGGTAGAAAGGGGGTGGAGGGAGGGGGAGGGAGAGGGGAGAGACTTGGTTTCCCGACGGGAATGTCTGGACCAAAGGCAGGGCTGAGCATCGATGAGAAGATGGAGGTTGTACTTGTGTGTACTACTTAGGTATGTTGATATGTCATGACGTAGCGGATTATACTTAAGTGTTATAAGTGTACTTAAGAGGAGAGGAACTATAGGTGACTGTGCACAGGGATAGGAGACTTTCGGCTGCATGCTTTTTCTCCGTATAGTTAGTACGGAGAGCTAACTAGCTAACTAGTTACTGGGGGGAGGGGGGAAGGGGAGGAGGAGCTGAAGAGTTCTCCGTAAATAAATGGCCCTCCAGTCGACCGTGTCCGCGTTCATGCAGGGAGGAGGAGGAGGACTAGCTAGCTAGTGATGCCCGTCAGAGCGACACCCTTGTCCTGTCAGAAACCTAGGTATGGGGGAAAACGAAGAGGGTATAGATATGCGGGTTGTTCAAGCGGTACAAGCGCTAGTTAGTAGTAACAGTGTGTGTGTGTGCATGTTTAGTCCCCGGTAGATGGAATAATACATGTGCACCGAGAGGAGTGATAATCATGTCCGGCTACGGCTATTGATCTTGTACCCTAGCCCTGACCTTGACCTTGACCTTGACCTTGACTTTTCTGACAGGTCTCGAGGTCTCGAGGTCTGGAGGTCTAGAGTCTGCAGGTGAAATCAATCGTACGACCATGGCAGGGCTCATCTAGACCAACTCTGATAAGAAGGCCAGGTGTAGATAATGTAAGTGTTTATGATGACTTGACTAGTTACCCGATAACACTATCGTTATAGACGAAGAGTACGGAGTACCTGACGGAGAGAAGGGAGAGCAGCAGAGCAGTGCTGGAGAGAGAGTAAGTGAGTGAGTGAGTGATGGAGAGAGAGAGAACCCCCTCGTCCGGGACTTGCTGCGGAGAACGCCGGTCCCTTGCATGCCCTGCCTGTCGGAAGAAGCGAGAAAGACAGGAAGAAACACACTTTTTTTTCGACTAAGAGAGAGATCAACAGCGGCGGATGCTCAGGGAGATGAAGATGGAGATGGGAGATGGAGATGAAGAGCAAGAGCAAGAGAATGAATGAGGCGAGAAGGGGAGAGCAGAGAGATTACTGGAGAGATGGAGGATGGAGATTGATTGATGCGAATGGAGATGGGAATGGAGATGGAGATGGAGATGGAGAGATGGAGGGATGGAGAGATGGAGAAAAAGAAGTATGGAGAAGGCAAAGGAGGCTTGCTGTCGAAGTGGCGAGTCTCTTTCTCTTGTCCATCTTGTCCATCTTGTCCATCGTCTTGTCTTGTCCCATCTCTTAGTCTTGGTCTTGGTCTCTCTATCTGTCATGAGTATCTGTCATGCAGGACGAATATAGCATCAAACAAGTCATTAGCCGACGACGACCTAAGTTCAATTCCACCACTTCTAACTTCCACTTGTACGGGGAAATTAGCCCCTTGTTGTTATAATTAATATAACTATACTATTTTTTTTTTTTTATTTTTTTATTTTTTTAAATGGATGTAACTGTCACTTCGGTAACAGCGGCCGACCGGAAGCCCAGCCCCGGGAGATCTCGAGCCTTACTTAGGGCTTCTTCTTCTTCTTCTTCTTCTTCTCTTTTTACTTACTACTAGAGTGACTAGCAGTAAATCTTCATCTGTCGCCATCGCCGTCATCTCCCGACTTCCGTCCTCCCGGCCTTGGCCATCAAGGTAGACAAGGCCATCCCATCTAATTACATTCATTACAGCCTAAGCCTAAGCCGAAGCCCAAGGCCCCAAGACCCAAGGCCCAAGCCGAAGCCCAAGAGACAAGACTACGGAGAACCAGGGACTTGACTCTAGCGCAGGAGAGGAGAGTGGAAGTACATACATACATACACTGGTGAGAGCCTAGTGAGAGAGATGTCCGTGCCTGATGCATGTGTCAGGGAGTGGCGTGGCTGGCTGGCTGGCTGGGGAAGCAAAGCGACTTTTCTTCTTCTTCCCCGGATCATCTAGGGATCATGAGTAAGAGACATGAGTAAGAGAGAGAGTAAGAGAGTAAAAGAGTAAAAGAGAGAGGCGTGGTGAGCCGAGGTCGTTTCAGTGGGCGAAGAGGAAAAGGGAGAGAGATCCAGAAAAGGGGTCGAGGAAGGCAAAGACAGCCAACAGCAAAAGCAAAAGAAAAGCAAAAAAAGGCAGAAAACCCAAGAAGGAGACAAGGGGAAAGATGGAGCTGGAGCTGGAGACTCCGCGTGGCCTGAGGGTGGCGAGAGAAGAGGAAGACTCAAGAGGAAGACTCAGTAGAAAGAGAGCAAAGAGTAAGAGAGCAAAGAGAGAGAGACCAGTCGGAAGAGCCAAGGACGACCTCGTGGGCTGCAGCAGCGCAGGTGGCAGCCGAAGGGCGCAGGAAGACAGCCAGAGAAGCCAGCGAGTAGACGGATGGCTAGTAGGGATGGTTAGGGATGAGTTAGGGGACTAGTTAGGGGAGCGAGTTAGGGGAGAGAGTTAGGGATAGTTAGGAGCCCGCAGAGCGCAGAGAGAGAAAAGTGCCCTAAGGAGGATCGTTTTCTGTGTGGGGTTTTCCACTTGGGAGAGCGCCGGAGGGGAAGAAGCTTTGCCTTTTTTTGCCTTTTCTTTTTTTTTTTATTTCTTTTTTTATTTCTTTTTTCTCTTTTTTGCTCTGTTTTTTTTTTTTTTTCCTTTTCTTTGCTTTTTCTGCGTTTCTTCTGCTTCTTTTTTTTTTTCGTCTTTTTTTCGTCCTTTTTTCGTGGCTTCTTTTTGTCGTCGACAGTTTTTGGCTGCTGAAATGGCCTTCGTCTCCCTCTCTACCTTACCCTCTTTGCCCTCTTTGCTCTACTTTGCTCTTATCTACTTACTTACTACTTCTACGCTGCTAGTCTATTACGTCTCATTACGTCTTCCTCTGCTGACTCTTGCCGTGACGTCCCCAAGTGACGCTGCTTGGCTAGGCTGGCTCGGCTGACTCTGGAGGCGTCTGGCATCCCGACTACTTAAGGACAGCCTTCCCCAGACTCCCAGACTCCTAGACTCCTAGACTCCCCGTACCACCACCACCACCACTCCAACACTCCAACACTACTACTACTACTACAACATCACTACTACTACTGCTGCTGCTCTACCAACATCACTACAACATCTACTACTACAACAATATAAAAGTCATTCAAGATAAGAAAGATGCCGGACGATAAGCCGGAGCTGCCGCGGCCGTACAAGTGCCCCCTCTGCGAAAGGGCCTTCCACCGCCTCGAGCACCAGACAAGGCACATCCGCACTCACACCGGCGAGAAGCCGCATGCCTGTCTCTTCCCCGGATGCGCAAAGCGGTTCAGCCGGTCAGACGAGCTCACCAGGCACTCGCGCATCCACTCCAACCCCAGGAAGCCTGGCAAGCATCACCACCACCACTCCCACCACCACCACCAGCCCACCGCCGCCGCCGCCGCCGGGCCTACTCATCCTCATACTGCTGCTGCTCCTGGTGGTGGCATTCTCGATGGCAAGGCGAGGTCAGCTCCCGTCAGCCAGGCGGTCTCTCCCAACGTCTCCCCGCCTCACTCCTACGCCGTTCCCTATGCTGCTCACTCTCCCTCGACACTCAACCCTTACGCCAGGCCAGTCACCGTCTCGGCGCCCGCCTCGGCTGCCTCCACCATGGACATCAACATGCTGGCCTCGGCCGCCAGCCAGGTAGAGCGAGACCACCAGCTCGCTCCCTCTCCTACCACCACAAACACCACCACCATCACAAACAACTCTACATACAGACATCGGACGGGATACAGCCACTATCCTCCCTCCATGGCACCCGGAGCTCCTGTAGCTCCCTCTACCACCACCGCCACAAACAACAACAACAGCTCGCCATCCCAGATACAGATACCCCCTGTTCCAGGCCTCCCGCAGGCACCAGCCAGGCTGCCCTCGCTCTCCGCCTATGCCATCTCTATGACCCGCTCCCACTCGGACGAAGAGCACCATCATCACCACCACCACCATCACCATCACCACAGCAGCAACGGTCACAGCCACAACCACAACCACTACGCCTACAGGACGAAACGGTCTCGTCCGTCTTCGCCCAACTCCACGGCTCCTTCGTCTCCTACGCTCTCTCATTCTTCTCTCTCCCCCACGCCAGACCACACCCCGCTGGCCACGCCCGCCCACTCGCCCAGGCTAAGGCCGTATTCCTATGTCTCGCCGGATCTCCAGCTCCCCTCCATCAGACAGCTGAGTCTGGCTGCCCATGCTCCTGCTCCGGCCCTGGCGCCCATGGAGCCTCACACTGACACCTCTTCGTCTCACTCCACTCTCACCCACTCCACTTACTCTGCTCCCATAACGCCTGCAGCCACAGCCACAGTCACCCCTCCTCTGGCTGCCGGTGTCAAGGGACCCTCGATAAGCGACATCATGCACCGTGCAGACGGGACACAGCGGAAACTGCCTGTGCCCCAGGTGCCCAAGGTAGCCATCCAGGAAGTCCCCTTAGACCTGGACAGATATTAATCTTTTTTCTTTCCTTTCTTTTTTTTTCTTTCTTTTGGG